CCACTGGGCATGTTTGCACACTCAGCAGGTGGAGTTTCATGGCAGCTATTGCTCCAATCGCGAAAATCCACCCGCCAGGGATGTGAGCGCCGCCACGCCAATCTGCCCGGGGGGATTTTGTCACACACACTTCGGCATGACACCCGGGGCAGACCACACACCCTTGCAACACCCCTGGATATATGAAGCATCAGTAACAGCTAAGCACTCAGCCTGAAGGCTCTATAAAGCACAATTGTCCTAACATGCCATCTAATCATAAAATGAAAGTCACACAAACCTCCTCCAGAAAACAGCTCCGTTAGCATTATCTCCAGGAAGCCCCGCCGCCTGTAAATTCCCACAGCATATCAGATGGTGGAGGTACATGAAGTAGGGTCTCTAGTAACCAGCTGTGAGTTAGTAGAGTCTATGCAAGAAGATGTTCCTGAAATTTTCCTGTTACAGATCAAATTACCCACTCACAAATATTTTTTTAAATGTAGATGTAGAAAATGATGTATCCTCTAAATATCAAGTATTATGTTTAACTTGAGGTGGATCATTGCTTTAATAAACCAAACAGTTCCTGCTGCAGACTGGTCTTTTCATACAGACATGCCTTTAAATGAAAGAGAATCCTTGGGTGTCATCTAGACATAAAGAATGACTTCAGTAGGCGCCTCGGGGGTCTCTTGCTGTTCACTCCCTCTCTCTGTAGAAGCTCTTATTCCCTTTAGCACGTCTTCTACTTCACTGCTGGGCACTTCAGTTTTCCTTGAACATAATAGAAGAACTGGTAGAAGCTGGGTGACTCTTTATGTTCCAGTTGCCCAGCTCCCTTCCAGCACCCCTTGCTTCAGTTGGAGGCCATATTCTGAACTGTTTTTAAAGGCAGTCCCATACAAGGGGCATTGCAGGAGTCTGGTCTCTCTGTAACTAGTGCAGAGGAAGTTGACAACAGTAGACTGGCAAGGAAAAGAGACTTGTTTGGAAACAAAGGTAGGCCTTCTCCGGATTACCTTTAGAGGAGTCAGGAGTAGGGAAGCTTTGGCCCTTCAGGTATTTCTAAACTGCAATACTCATCAGCTCTAGCAAGCATGACCAATGACCAAGAATGATGGGAGATCAGCAAACCTCTGGCGGGTCAACTCACCTTAAGACTTTACAAGCTTTAAAGCCAATAGAAGGAACCATGGTTAGGATGCAGATCAACATGGCTCTTTTTATATATAGGCTTTGTTCTCTGTGCAGGGATGTAGCGTTCCAAATAAGCCTTGCTTGGCTTGTTCTTTTTATCCACAACCCACTTAACCTTAAACAGTGGCCTATTTTGACTTAATTAGATATTAACAATTTCTGTGCTAACATATCTGTACTTTATACTATCTAGACTAGATCAGTGGATATTGTGATGAAATCTGCTACTTCGGACTTCCGGGGTGGCGCCATCGGCAATGGCAGACTCCCTCTGAACTGGAGGGACTAGCTCCGCGCGAAACGGGTCTTTTCCGCTACGGCGAAGCGGGGACCCTTTTAAAAATCACAGGCGGATGAAGCCTGTGACCATGGGACTCGGCGGGCACCCTTAGCGCCCCCCCAACCTGCAAAGCAACCCACTAACGGGCTCCGAAGCGAAGAGGGGGAAGTGGCGTGGTGCTATGAGTCAACTGCTATTTCCGTGGAGCGAAGCCACATAGCTGTTGCCGGAGAGCGCTGCCTTTTTCCTGGGACAAATTGGCTTCTAAAATAATCACCCGTGAGTACTTAAACTTTGAACAATTGGACTTTAAATAAGGACTTGCGAGCAGAAAGGAATTGGATTTAAAAATTTACTTCAATTTGGTACTGAAACGGGAAGGTCTAAACAGGAAGTCAGCCTTCCGTTTCTTTGTAGACAGAACAAAGCAAAGACAACGTAAACTAGAGCTCAGAAAATCGCTTCTAAAGGATCGGCTTTCATCATTTAAAATCCTCGAACCCCCTTCGGCAGCAGGAGAAGAAGGGGATCTTTTCAGACTGTTTAAATTTGCAGAAGTGAGTTTAAAGTAAAGTAACTTTCCACCGTCCTGATCCTGGAGCGGGGTGTCAGGACTGACGTTTGAAGCTCATTGACCAGAGACAAACGTTTTTGACAGATAGCTAAAAGAAGAGAAACATAGTGATTCCACTGTTTCCTTTCGCATTTTAAAGGAACAAATATTGACAAAATATCTCAAAAAGGAAAACTTTGTTGCAAGAACAATTAGAAGTTTTCCCCTAGAGGGAGACTGGGAAACTAACTAATTCCAGGAGCTTGCAGCTGTCACAGATTACAATCGTGGGAAAAGGCTTGTGACCTTGTAGGACAATGTATTCAGAAGCTCTGTTGTGTGCTCTCTGTAAAATAAATACTCTACTGGAACAGTTAACTGAGAAGACGGATTTGATGACTAATGAGGCCAGAATTTTTGAACAGGTAGTGGAAACTATATGGAGCCCACCCAGGAATTAAATCAGGAGTGTGCCCTGACAGAACAGATGAGAGAAGAGGATGTTGCGGAATCTTGGGCGCCAGAGATGGAGGGAGCTGCAGCCCAGCAGGCACATGAGCTTTTGGATTTGACAAATGAACTTGGAAAAAGCCAGATTAGGAAAGATAAAGTGTGGACTGATTTGGAAATGGGGGGTTGGATAGACCCCCCTATGCAGGGATGTTTGGACTTTCCGAGTCTGGCAATGGGCCGTGAGATGTTTGGAGCTGTGGGGGCTCTCAATTTTGGAGGGATTCTGAAACATGTTTTTAAATACTACATGGAGTTTAGTCTGGACTATGGAAAAGGGGCTGATTTGTTGAAAAGGGTCAAAAACATTACCAAGTTGGAGTTCCCACGAGTGAAAGGTGAATATGAAGAAGAGCTGCGGAAGGGACATGGAAGGAACTTAAGGGCCTCGGATATAAGGTTACCAGGTTAATGCGCTAGATCGATGGGATAAAAAGGACTGACAAAACCCGGGACCAGGAGGAAGGGACGCTGGATGAAGATTGGATTGTTTCTATTTCTTCTTTTTTTTATCACTAGGATTGTTTTATAAAATTGATGACTGTTAGAAAAATGTTGGAACGAAACTACTTGGCTCTAGCAAAAATGTTTAAAGAATTAGGCAAGAATATTATGGTTATGAGAAGTGGGTAAAAATAAGATTTAAGTTTTAAGTTTTAAGGTTTTTTTATAAGATAAGATGAAAATAGATTAAGGTAATGTAATGACAAAATATTATGAAATATGGAAAGGATTTGCTGCGATAATTATTAACTGGGATACAAAAAAAAGGGAGGAGGAGGTCAAAGAAAGAAGGTAATGAAAGTTGAAGATTTGAGAATGTTGGTTTTATTTTTATCTGTTTGTGGTGTATTTTTGTTTTTGGATTTGTATTGTTGGATGTGGTTTGTTTTTCTTTTTCTTTTTTCTCTTTTCCGTTTTTTTCTTCTTTCTTTCTCTGCTTTGTCTTTTTCTGTAATTTTAAAAATTTTCAATAAATATCATTTAAAAAAAAATGAAATCTGCTACTTCAGTTCAGAATTCCAGACTTTTAGAAAATGTAATGTAATTTTTTAAAACATAGACTAAAATAAAACCGTATTGGTTTAACTAGCTATTATGAGATTGCAACAGTATCAGATATTTGTATTCCAGTTCAACACAGCAGGTTTGCTGGGAGATGATTTATAATGAAATGAAAAGGTATTTAAATATACCTTCGTGAAGAAACCAGAGGCCTTTCTCCTGGGCATAGTCGGCCAATTGGTGCCAAAGAAGGATAGAACTTTTTTATGTATGCAACAACAGCAGCAAGGATACTCATCGCGAAATATTGGAAGACACAAGATTTACCCACCCGGGAAGAATGGCAGATGAAGTTGATGGACTATATGGAACTGGCGGAAATGACTGGCAGAATCCGAGACCAGGGAGAAGAGTCGGTGGAAGAAGACTGGAAAAAGTTTAAAGACTATTTACAGAAATACTGTAAAATTAATGAATGTTAGAAAAATGTTGGAATGAAGTTATATGGCTTTAGTAGAAATGTTATAAGGAATTAAGTATAAATAGATTAATAGAGTATTAAAGGAAAAAATAAGGTTAGAATGAGTTAAGATAATTATAGGATAGAAAACAGAGGAAGATGGAAAGGAATTGCTGAAACAATTAACAGAAGTGGAATACAAAAAGGGAGGTGTGAGGAGGTCGTGGAAATAAGTGAATGAAAGATGGGATAATGAAATTGTTTGATTTATTTTATTGTTTTTGTTTTGTTTTGTTAGTTTAATGTGTTTAATGTCAATGTTATGTAGTGTTTTTGTATTGTATTGTTTTTGTAGTGTTTAAATTGTTGGAAAAGTAATAAATATTATTTTTAAAAAAAACACAGCAGGTTTGCATTGATCCTTCTTCCCACTCACTTCACTTGTTCCTTATTTAAAAATGAAAATCAGAGGATCCAAGTGGTCTTGTTGCATCAAAGGGGCAGCATCATATGTTTATGACACCATTATAATGGGATAAATTCTCTTCTTTTTCAATCAGCTGCACAACATTCTGTTAACCTCTTTAAAAGGATAAAAAGAAGCACTTTATTCTCTTTTCTCTTTCTACAAAAACAAGTGTTTTTAGAGTATGTTCCACAAATAGTAGGCAAAGAGTAAGGCGAATGATCTTGCAGAGAAACTTGGGAATGACATCAATGGGTTTTCAATCTGGAAGTCAATAGAAAGTAGTTGTTTGTTATCACAGGACAGCCAAGAGATAATAGAACAAGAGCCGTTTCTTTTGAAGGGTTCAAGTATTTAAAGCTTCAATTCTGTCTAGCTCTGGATTAAAATTTTATAGGAGTTTGCAGCAATAACAAGCTGATGTTATTCTGATTCTTGAGATTTTGTCAAGCCAAGAGTTAGACCATCAGATAATTTTTCCTAGTTTTCACCTGCAATCAGTTTGTTAGTTTTCAACTGGATTAAGTACAATTCAAAGGCAAACATAATGGAATTGTCTTGTTTTAATTTTGAAGAAGATTCAGTATCAGATTTTCAATTCTGGGTCAATGTGGATTCTACTGATCAACTCTCGTCTCAGCCAGATCATTTTCTACTTGACCGTTCTACTCCAACAGGTGAAGGGTCTTCTTGGCCACCTTTCTCTTGTCAGTCATTGTTTCCTGATGTGCAAATACCACTCCCAGACCCAGGTGGGCAGATTCGGCAGTTTGAGGGTGGTGCTGAATTGGACAGCTCCTTGTTGGTTCAATCTGATGATAGTGACCTGCAGTTTAAATATCACCGATTCATTCCTGCTCACCCTTACAAGACACAGAGACACGCTGCCAACATTAGGGAAAGAAAAAGGATGCTCAGCATCAACTCTGCTTTTGATGAACTTAGAGGCCATGTCCCAACCTTCCCTTATGAAAAGCGTCTCTCCAAAATTGACACTCTCAGACTGGCCATAGCATACATCGCATTGCTTAGTGATATCCTGACTTCAGGATCTGACCCCAAATCCTATGTGCAGAAATGTATGAAAAACGGATATAAAGGCCATCAGAATGCAATCTGGAACACAAGTGGTAAGTGAACAGAATTTGCTTTCATTTTTAAAATTTGTTTCTTTTTTTTCTTTTTTCTAATACTATACTAAAATCTGGCTTTCATTGCAAAAAAATGAAACCAGTAAAACAATAGTATCTAAACCAAATTGAAATAACATAGTATTCTCCCTTGTTTACAGACTGGTCAGGTCTGAAAAGAGAGTCAATCTTTTTTGTGATTCATGCTCGGTGTAAATAGTTTTGTGGCCATTTTAGACAGGTCCCTTAAAAAATAATATATTGCTTAATATGTCCTTGTGCTTTAACATTTTCTAGATCTTGCTTATTTGGTAACTATTCAGTTTGCAATATAGCAAAGAAAACTTGTAAATCATGGGCTTCCCTGACTGAATAATTGTTTCCTACTCTTACACTGGTCCCTAAAGCACGGAGACGTTTTATCTGTTTTGTAACCGCATAAGCCTATAAAAAAGAAAAACAAACAAACCCAGATCAAGAACAATAACTTAAGAAAACCACTAGAAACTGTGAAAGTCATAGAAATGTGCTGAAGTTTAAATCAACAAAAGCAAATGGCCACAATTCAACCAGTACCCTGAATTTAATTATATAATTATTTATTATACATCTATATAATAAATGTGGAAATGAAATGGTAGCTAGCTGGCTAGACAGGTGGATAAAATTTTATGTGTAATGAATCAGGATGTCTGACATAGTTTATTCAAGTATGTAGCTGGACAAATTTTGTGCAGTGGGGGAAAACTGTGCCGAATGCAGTAGTAATCGAACCCTTGAGCACATTCAGCTTAATAAGAAGTTAGGTTTTTTCGTTAAAAGAAATGGATGAAAGAGGAAAAGATAAAAAATGAACAGGAAAAAAATTGAATAAAGTTTTCTTTAGATTTTCATAAGCTTACACAAAGAATATATTAGAGCCACCTTCTACTCATCAATTCATTACCTCTTCCTTCCTCTCTGTTTTTTACTTTTGTTTTCCTTTTCCTTTCCCCCCATCTGTCCTTTCTATTTTTCTGTGGGGAGGGTTGTTGGTTGGCCATTTGTCTAGCCTGTAACAGACTTTAACATTGCAGGTTCAAATTATGCCTTTATAAAATTAGTAGGTGACCCTATGGATACTATGGGAAGAATAATAGCCATTTACTCAACAGGAACTCTTGTAATGGTGACATTTTGAAAACTAAATAAGTGCTATATAAAATCATCTTCATCAACAACAATTCTTCTCTGATGTCCTTTCTGTGTTATGAGATTGCTATTCAAGGCAAAACTTAACCTATCCATACTGTTGATGCTAAATGAATATTAAATTAAATATATTAAAGTGTTGGTGGCAGTGTGAGCTTGCTTTGGAAAGGAGTATGCTAAGTTCTGAGAATGACTATAAACTACTCAAATATTACAATTATGGATATGACGAAGCAAAGCCAAGTGACTATAAGATCAAATGGTTTTTACTGAAGAGTTTAGCATATGCTTAGATCCTTCCTAGCAAAAACAGACTTTAAAGGCAGCAAACCTGCACAAGCACAGGCTGTTTAAATCCCAAATCTGCGCAGGAGTACAGCAATTGTGCATTAACTGTGCTTAATTTATGCCTGATATTAACCACTTACCATCACTGTTTGCATTTATTAATAGCAATGCTTAGTTTCTATGTCACATTTTTCAGTGTTAACTTCACGTATGTTCTCTCACCATTCAGGGTGGGTGAGGAGAGATAAAGGTGTTCCTAAAGTCGACCGATTCTCTCATTGAGGATCTTCCTTGTTGATGGCTCAGCCAGTAAGCCATTGTGCAACACCAGCTTTCCTAGCTGTTCCTTTATTGATATCAGTCAGTCAGTATGTAAAAAGCAGACTCTCACTGAAAAGAGGAAGCAGGCCTGAAATGTTCAGTCTCCGTGTAAATCAAAATAGCTCCTCCTGACCAAACTGTCACTAACACACTGAGTTGCTTAATTAAAAGGAAAGCGTACTGCACATTAATTAAGTCTTTTAATTCAGTTAGTTCCATCAAACATATGGTAGCATTGGGGAAAGTAATTGTGAGATAACAATTCAATACATTCCTATCTTTATGAATTAAAATACTTTGCCCAGAAGTGCACGTGTTTTCATTGCACTCTTAGCTAACTGTTTTGCTCAAGAGGGACATAAATAATGGAATTACTTTTTCCAAAGAGATGGAAGTATGACTTGCTAATGTCTTGTGCACATTTGAGTCATTGTGCATTTTCTTCACTAGATTTACTATCCCTCCCCCCTCTCTCTACAGATTTGACAGCCCGCTTGTCCTGGATAAAATGGGATTAAGAGATGCTGCTTCAAAGGATTTTTCTGCTTGACACCAGCCGTTAAGTTCTCACCACAGCAAACATAAGCTATTACATTGAAATGAAATAACAACAATAAACACATACTCAAGACTGATTTGAAGACCCAGTTTCTATTAAAATCCACTGGAATTAGACATCAAGAGTTTCCTATTAGACAACAACCAGTGCTTTCATAAGTGATAATACACATGTACACCAAGTTTTCTTTTCAAAAAGAAACACTTAGAATGTTGCAAAAGCTCCAATCATTCTTTTTTATATAGAATCTTAGACTTGGAAGGGGACCAAGGGTCATCTAGTCCAACCCCCTACAATGCAGGAATATCGGCTAAAGCATCCATGACAGATCCTGAGGGAGATTGTTCCACTGTCAAACAGCTCTTGCTGTCAAAAGGTTTTTCTGTATCTCCTTTCTTGTAACTTGAAGCCCTTGGTTTGAGTCCTACCTACCACAGCAGACGAAAACAAGCTTGCTCCATCTTCCATGTGTCAACCCTTGAGATATTTGAAGATGGCTCTCATATCTCCTCTCAGTCTCCTCTTTTCCAGGCTAAACATACCTAGCTCCTTCAACCATTCCTCATCAGGCTTGGTTTCTAGTCCCTTGATCATCTTGGTTGCCCTCCTCTGCACAAATTCCAGCTTGTCAACATCCTTTTTAAATTGTGGGGCCCAAAACTGGACACTATATTCCATGTGTGGATGTGTGACCAAGGCAGAACAGAGTGGTACTACTACTTTCCTTGATCTGGACACTAGACTTCTGTTGATGCAGCCTAGAATACAATTCACTTTTTTGCTGCTGCTTCAACCATAGATCCTTTTCACATGTACTGCTAGTAAGCCAGGTGTCCCCCATCCTATATTTCTGCATCTGGTTCTTTCTGCCCAAGTGCAGAACCTTACATTTATCCTATTGAAATTCATTTTGTTAGCTTTCACCCAGTTCTCCAATCTGTTATGGTCATTTTGAATTTTGATTCTGTCTTCTGCAGCATTAGCAACCCTCCCAGTTTCATGTCATCTGCAGATTTGATAAGCATCTCCTCAATTCCTTAATCCAAGTCATTTATTCTATTTTAAAAGATTGTTGCAAAATCTTCTAAATTATATAGTTAACTGAAATAGGTTTTGCAGCATAGGCCAATTGGCTGCTGCTCAATTTGTGGGCTCTTTGTTTTGGAGGAGGGAGCCCTTCCATGAAATTACATGAAGTAGGAATTAATTAACACACAATAGTTGAAAAAGTACACTGTCTTTGATTGTACAAATATTCTGGATAGTAATGTTAGTCCAGGATGCCATATCAACCACATATCAGAGCAAGACTGTCAAAAATCATGGATTACGTGGTGTAAAATGAGTTACATGATCCTTCAGGCATGCTGTGTATTTTCAGAGCATGATAGACGTGCTGAGATTAGATTCAAACCTGTTGCAGCCTCATTAAGAAAAATTTTGATAGCATCCAATTCTGACATTTAAGAGCATTTAAAGAGCTCTGCCAGATGAATCAAGGTCTCCACTCCAGCAACCCTGTTCTCAAGGGTGACCAACCAGATGCTTATAAGCAGCCCAAGCACAGGACGTGAAGGCAAAAACTCTCCCTGTTGTTTGTCCAGCAACAACCGGTATTCAAATACACTGCTTCAGAGCACAGAGGTGGTTCCATATTCCTGGGATAATTTGATATTTATTTGGGCAATTTCATTTTCATAGCTAAACTTGATACTACATGATAAACTGTCATGCAGCTTTTTTCCTTATGGATTTATAGCTTCTATGTGAAACAGTCTTGTTCAAAATGATAAAATAGTAACACTAATCAAATTCAGAAAGACTTTATTATGTACAGTACTGAAATAACTATGCAAATTTAGCTGCTTAGCACTGCCCTCTAGTGGCAGATCGTGCAAGCTTTGCCTTTGGGTTGGGAACAAAACAAGCAGACAATTAAGGCTGCAATTCTGTACACACTTACCTGGGAGAAAATGAAAGCTAACATTTAAAAACAAATAAAAGCAATGCAAGAATAACATGGGGAAGTAAAACTAATATCAGCAGTGGCTTAAGGACCCAGAAAAACAAAAGGGATTTGCCTGGAGATGAAAATAGATAGACGTAGCTGCCTTGTGTGTCTCCCTGGGCAGCGTATAACACCAGGGGCGGTGGTGGCTCTGTGGTGTAAACCACTGAGCCACTTGGGCTTGCCGATCGGTGGTTCAAATCCCCACGACAGGGTGAGCTCCCATTGCTCTGTCCAACTTCTGCCAACCTAGCAGTTCAAAAACACACCAGTGCAAGTAGATAAATAAGTACCACTTCATTTCCGTGTGCTCTGGCACTCATCACGGTGTCCCATTGCACCAGAAGCAGATTAGACATGCTGGCCACATGACCTGGAAAAACTGTCTGTGGACAAACACCTGCTCCTCAGCCTGAAAAGCGTGATGAGCGCCACACCCCATAGACGCCTTTAACTGGACTTTACCTTTTAGATTTTACCTATAACACTGGAAAGCAGCCCTAAAGACCTTACCCCACATATAGAGACCTCATCTGTACCTTGCCTTGGACAGCAGGGGGCGCCAGAGGAGGACCTCCAAAGATGACATTAGTGCATGTAAGGGCATGGACAGGTTCGTGTGTTCCATAGAGC